AAAAGTGATCAAGCCCAATGCCCAAATCACAGCTTTTTTTAAAGTGATAAACATTTTTTTTTTCACTAGCAAACATGTTATACTTACCTGCTTTTTGCAGTGGTTTTGCACAGAGCGGCCCCAACCCTCCTCTTGTTGGGACCTCTGCCGGCACTCCTGCCTCCTCCCCCCTTAACCAGTTACCCCCCAGTAGCAAGCCACTTGCTATGCTTGTGCATGGCTCCCTGACCCTGCTCTATGCGTCCATAAGACACGCAGGGAGAAATTCACTAAAACTGGTTCACTCAGAATCTGGTGCACTTGTGCATGGAAGACAATCAGCTTCTAACTTCAGCTTGTTCTGTTAAGCTTTGGCAATAAAACATCTGATTTCTATGCAGAAGTGCACTTGATTTTTGCACTCTCCAGCTTTAGTAAATAAACCCCGCAGAGCCACGGCTCAGCCCTACCCACCCCTCTCTTCTTACTTGCTATAACTGACAGCAGTGGAAGCCAATGGCTCCCACAGCTGTGTCTCAGCTAATGGGGAAAGAGAGACCCAGGACAGCCAAGGCTCTTGTGCACATCCCTGGATCGACAGGGGGCTCAGTTATATATTGGGGGTGCAGCACACATAGACTGCAAGAAGGTGAGAAACCATTTTAACCTCTTTAGACTCTGCATTGACTTAACACATCCAAAGAGCTATAGGAGTTAAATAATCAGGCATGATCACGGTCTCCCTGTGTGTTTATGGATAGTGGCGTTACATAGGTTAAAAAACCATAAAAAATAATGTCTGTTTAGTTTAATAATGGACACAATCCTATACCCACAGTTGATCGAGAGGAAAGCAAATAAGAGTAAAGTAAAGCATGATCCATTTTCATCCAGCGGGTAAAGAAATTCTGATCCCCAGGAGGCAATCAGATATTTCCTGGATCAACTATTTCTGGTGTTATTACTTATAAATCTTTATATTAAGTTATATTTTGTGCATTTAGGAATGCATCCAGTTCTTTTTAAAATCCATCTACTGAGCTGGACATTTTCACAGCTCTTACTGTGAAGAAGCCTTTCTGAATGTGGAGGTTAAATCTCTTTCTCCAGATGTAAAGATTGTCCCCTTGTCCTTTACAATGATCCTAAAGTGTATAACTCTACACCAAGTTCACTATATGGAACACTTATGTATTTATACATGGTCATCATAACCCTCCCTAATCGCCTCCTCCCAAGAGAGAATAAATTTAGTTGAGCTAATCTTTCAGCTGAGGTCCTCCATGCAGAGTGCTAGACCACTGTCCCCTATAAATTTAGATGCGGTGGGTGCATTTTCAATTTATTTATTTTGACCAATGACAGGGTAAGCATTCAGTCATACATAAAAGATACAATATGTTTTAGTATAACATAAATTCAAAGCAGGTTGTAATTCATTTTAAATGCAGAATGAAACATTCAGTCAGTACAGCTACCAGGTAAATGATATGGTTTAAAGTTGTAAGTGGGAGTTACTAAGATGAGAAGAAAAGAAAAAGGTCGGGGGGGGGGGGGCAAAAAAGGGGGATAGGTACTAGGGAATAACCTCCCCGCCATGGTCTTAAATTTTCAGAGTTTTTGGTAGCATGGTATGGATGATAGAGGGCTTTGTCCATGTCAAAGAAGTACACAATAGTAAAATCAGTATATGCAGTAAAATGCTTGTTATAAAGGTAAGGGGTTAATCCTCTGGTAAAAAGGGGGGGGCAAACAAAGTTTGGGGGATAGAGGTATTTGGGGGGTGCATGTGATAGGGAATGGGCTGCATAGAAAGCCCTCACAAGGACAGTCTGCCCAAGATTAAGTGCTGCTGATGAGAAACTGCTGATATTTAGCAGTTTATATTTACTAAAATAATTGCACTTCCATGTTCTGTGTACTGTTAGAGACCAGATATAGTGGATGCAGGGTCCTAGGTTTAGTAACACTTTAAATTCTTTTAGTGTTTGAATGATATTTGCGTATCATATAGGAAATAAGTGGTCTTGATGGAATTTTTAACCCCCAACCAAACGTTGGTCAACGCTGGGCAGTCTCAGAAAATGTGTAAAAGCAATCCCTCCATTTTCTGACATCGCAAACATAGAGGTGGAACCTGGGGATTTGCCAGAAAGAGAGGAATAAGCCAAGCTGTAGACTGTGCATAATCTAAATCACAACCAGAAGTGTAACTGATGTGTACGTCACTTTAGGTTTGTTTTGAGTTGTAAAATGGCACAACCTGAAGATACCTTTTGAGCTAAGGCTACTGAGTTGAGGGTCTGTGAGGCTATGCAGGAAATGTGGTAAACCTAGGATGGGTAGTGTCTTTAAAATGGACTTGACAGGACTAGGAAGGCCATAGATTATGCAAATTTCTTTCCTTCCAACACAGGTGAAAGGAAAGAAAATCACTTGATTTCCCCATCAACAGAGTCAGTGTTCTGCCAGTGGGAGCCTTCTCCACTAGCAGAACATAATGATTAGTATTGCCTCCTATAGGCCTCAGTTCTAATTCTTTGGGAAAAACCTGTGTACAATCAGGGTGCCCACACATGAATCAAAATAAGGCTGGTCCTGTTGAACCTGCTGAATTTCAGTCCATGTATGGCTGGATTAAGAATAGGACCTATTAAGGGTGAGGTGTTATCTGTTGTGTTAGTGCAGGTGGGGTTTCACCCATGCTGGTCCCTGGAGTGGAAAGGGAAAGGATGCTTGTTCTTGTTCTATCCAGGCTTTTCCAGAATTACTGGTTGGGTCAACAAGTATAAGTAAAGGGAAAAAAAACCTGCTGGGAAATGTTTATATATATACATGCATGACTTCAGTCATCTGAGTAACACACACTTCAGTGCCTGCCAGATTCTGGTTACACTGGCCATTCATGGAGTGATGGTAAACTGGACTAAATTTGCTCCACAGATGGCCCTGTCATCCCCCTCCTGCCAGACATCATTCCAATGAAAACCAAATCAAAGGAGCTGGGCAGTAAATTTTCAGACACACAGTGACTGCAGCCAGTCGGATACAGGCACTGTTTGGGTATTTTGACAGCCAGCGGCTGTCAATAATGAGAGCTTTAGAGATCTGCAGGAACAACGTCTTCATTTTGCATTTAAACTATGTAAAGGGTTCTTTACTTTTGAGCGGTATGGATGTGGAACTCCCTTTCACACAGTTGGTGGTATCAGTGGGGAGTATAGATAAATAAAAAAAGCGAGTTGTTTTTCTTGGTGAACTCAATGTACAGGGAGGATATGAACACATATATCCCTTTACATTGCTACGCTATGTTGCCTGGGGGAACGGAAGGGAGTGTTGGCTTTTTGAGGAGCTTCAAATCAGATATTCTACTAGCGAACATGATTGGATCACACATTCGAGAAGCACAAAAACGGAGATTGCAGTACAAGTGCAGGTCCTCCAACCCCCAGGGCTAGGTGAGAAGAAATGGATAGTTGTGGGGAGGTAACTGGTGTGAGCAGGAGAAGGTGGGGTGCACTACAGTCATAGGAGATTTTAAGAAATTAGATTACAGGGAAAAGTGATCAGAACAAACTTCATTCCGCACTGCAGGGTATTTATAGGGGACAGTGGTCCAGTACTTTGCATGGAGGACCTCATCTATGAGGAATGATCAGCTGAACTGAATTTATTTTCTTTTGAGAAGAGACAATTAAGGAGGAATATAATTACCATGTATTAATATATAGGTAGTCCATATAGTAAACTTGGTTGTTCAGATTAGGATCATTACAAAAGACCAGGGGGCACTCTGGAAGAATAGAGATTTAACCTCTACATACAGAAAGGCTTCTCCCAGTTAGAGCTGTGAAAACGTGGAATGGACTCCCTAAAAAACTAGTTCTGGCCAGCTCTGTAGATTGTTTAAAAAAGAGCTGGCTGCATTCCTAAAATGCACATAATATAACTGGATATTAATATTTATGGGTAATAACACCAGATGTTGTTTGTCCAGGGAATATCCAATTGCCTACTTGGAGATCAAGAAGGAGATTTTCCCCTCCTGGAGTAAATTGGACCATGCTTTATTTTTTTGCCTTCCCCTGGATCAACTGTGGGTATACAATTGTGTATATGGAGGTTTTATATATATATATTTTTTTTTTCTGTTGGTTGAACTAGATGGACTATTTTCAAGCACAGTGGCTAAATGGTTAGCACTTCTTCCTCCTGGCAGTACTAGGGTCGTTGGTTTGAATCCCAACCACAGCACCACCTGCCTGGAGTTTGCATGTTCTCCCTGTGCCTGCGTGGGTTTTCTCCGGGTACTCCGGTTTCCTCCCACACTCCAAAGACATGCTGGTAGGTGAAATGGCTGCTGTCTAAACTGGCCCTAGTATGCGTATGTATGAATGTGAGTTAGGAACCTTAGAGTGTATGCCCCTTGAGGGTTAAGGACTGATGTGAATGTAAAATATATATGTAAAGCGCGTAAAATTGACGGCGCTATAAAAGTACCTGAAATAATAATAATCTGACTGACTATGTAATCTATTCACGAACCCCTTACTCCATCTAGGTGCTTACCGTCCTCTTTTGAAGCCAGTGGTGTCCAATAAAGTTTGCCGCCTGGGTTCTCAACAACTGCCTACACCCATAACTTAACTCTCCCGGGACTTAAATGTCCTCCTATGGTAAATATTCTAGAAGTATGGCACTGTTCAAGTATAGGGATGGTTATTGTGCAGGTGTGGGCAGAGCCACTTGTGGGTGTGTGAGGGATTCTAGCTAAGATTTGGGTCTTGTATTTTTATGGTGAATTTGTGAAAGGGCTTGTCTGTTTTGATAGCAAATCAGAACTGTGTTTTTTTTTAATGTACTTCTGTTTTCTGAAAATTTGCCCTCTCAAGTGTAATTATACCCTATTATAAGATAATTTATTTTGAGGTTTATGTGATTTTGTATCTTTCTTTAGGTGTACAGTCTGATCTCTGCCTGCTCAATGCCTATTTGCTGGCTACAGATTTGTAAAAGCAATGACTCCCCAGGGTAGGGTATTACTGAAACGATTTATGGGCTGTTGGCACAAAATGTTTAAAGGGCAAAATTTGCTTGTGACAAACACAGTGAGCTCTGGGATACTTTTCGCTGTTGCAGATTCTATTCAACAGGCACGGGAGATCAAGAAAGATTCTGAGAAAAGTCGAGACTGGTGGAGGACAGGTAAAAAATAAATACTCTGTTCTTGCTTGCATCTGTCTGCAGAGGTGGTAAAAAAACCCCAAAAAACTACCCATCCACACCCCAATTAATAGCTATATATATTTTTTTTCTATTTAGTCACTTATCTCTACTATGTGGTAGCAAATTCGTGTTTTCATAACCTATGCTACAGCATACAGTACATCATTGGTTTGCCAGGGATGCCTTGTGTTCGCAGCTAGCTTGCCATATGGGGAGCTGCTGCCTTGCAACGAGATGTCAGTCACTGTTTAACAAAAAACAACTCTCACATGGCTCAAAAGGAAAAATGAAGAGAAAGAAGACGACTGTGTCTAAACTATAATAAAACTAATGTTGTAGGTACTGCTGTGCTGAGTACCTATGGAAGCCTTCATGGCGATTTCTAAATAGGTGATTTTCTTTCCCATATAAAAGAACTATGTGCTAGGCCTTATTTATTTTGCTAACAAAGCTTTAGCTTAATGTATCACATTAATCTACAGCCCTCATCTCTAACTTGAACCCATTGAATGTAATTGAATATAACATGATAATTATTTCCATTTAAGAATTAGCAGATTAGTTATTTGAGTTAATTTAATTTTTTGAGTTAATATTTTTCTGCTTAAAACATTTTTACAGGTAGGATGTTTGTCATTGGCACTTGCTTGGCTCCAGTGGATCACTATTGGTATATCTGGCTGGATCGGGTACTACCAGGGGCATCAATTCAAACAGTAATGCAGAAGATTCTCGTGGAACAAATTCTGGCATCACCCATCCTTTCGGTTATATTTTTCTTGGGTAAGAATTTATATGTTTTAAACAAAGCAGCAAAGCTCATTGTAGTAAATACAGGTACTAGTGTTGGAGTCATTTGGAATAGGCTTCTGTTCTTTTCAGAAATGCTTCTAACCCAATATAATTCTTTAGGGATGCAGAAGCAGCTGAAGCTGGTAAAATGCAGGTCAACTGCACCTGTAATGTGTTCTAAATTATCTCAGAAGTGTCTCAAACTGTTGTAAATACATGCTGCATTTGCCCATCAAAGTCCATCATGTAATCATAAATAGACTGATGAGCTAAGAAAACAAAACATTGGGGTTGATTTACTAAAACTGGTGCACACAGAATCTGGTGCAGAATTTCATAGTAACAATTAGCTTCTAACTCCAGCTTGTTCAGTTAAGCTTTGACAATAAAACCTGGAAGCTGATTGGTTACTATGCACATCTGCACCAGATTTTGTGTGCTTCAGTTTTAGTGATTCTCCCCCATTATGTTGTAGACATCTGAAATCTAATAAGTATATGATACTGGAAAATATAATAGTTGAGAACAAAGAAGAAACACGGGAAATAGGAAGAGAGGAAAAGACTAGTTTCAGAATACCCATTATGTTTCCTAAATCTCCAAGCCTGCAAGAATACTGCCATAAAAGTCTGCATTTGTGTATTACAATTGTATATCTAGACAAAACTTTCTTTTTTTAGTTTTAGATTGGTGAAGGATTAGAACTGATATCAGGTTTTACTGCTATCCAGGGTTCAGGAAGAGATATTTTATCCCACTTAAGGTGACAATGGTTTCACCCGACAGAGCATGAGGGGTCTGAAACAGTAAAACAGAAAGCTGTTCAAGTACGTCTCCAGTGTGTCAGTCAGTCTAGCTTCTATATTTTCTTTGAAGCATGACTGAGTTGACCCTTGACTTGGTTTCAGCCATGGAAAGAGTGGTTAATTTCCTGGCTTTGGTCAGAACATGAAATAGTCATTTGAATTGGGCCTTAAAAAGGCCTGGAGGTTTAAGGTTAAAAATTGCGTGCTGAGCTCAAAAGGGGAAAATGGAGTTCATCTAGAGATCATCTGAAATATTTCTTCCCAGAATTGTTGTGCTACAGGACAAATCCACCACATGTGAAGCTACAGGACAAATCCACCACATGTGAAGCAATTGACCACAACCTCTAAAACAAATAAGTGAGCATTCAGTTAAATAGCGGCAATTTGGGTCGGTACTAAATACTGTGTCAGGACTTTATAGTTGGTCTCAACCACTAGTGTAATGCAAGAACAGGATTTGGTTGTTTCCCATTTTTGGGACCAATCTTATGCATCCAAGTCCAATGCCATTTGGGAGTTCTTTCTCACATTGTAGAATTGAAAAGGGCTTGACCCCTTTATTTAGAAGTGTCGCACTGTGATTTAGTGTCACACTTTGGTAAGTACTCTAGTTATCTATTCAATATAGGCCATAAGGGTATAAAGTCCTAGGCGGAGCCCTTGGTTATAGTTGATAGCCATGAGGGGCTTGTAAAAGGATTGAAGGTTTGCTGAGTATTTAACTGTGTATCAGACTTGCATTGTAAGCTTAGGGTTAGACAAGGACTGTCTTATCAAGGTAGTTGAGCCAAAAGAAGTTGTTGACTCCTAAAGGGTCACATTTTATAGTCTCGAGGACCACCCTCATGACATAGAACTTGGGGAGACCCCTGTGAGCATTTACTACACTTAAGGGTGACCATAATCATGCAGGAGGTTAACTTGCTGCTCATGTGGAACAAGGCTCCCCTTCAGTGGATACCCAGAAGTGTGCATACACCACAAGCACCAGACTGGTGATGGAAAGAGCTAAAATTGCTTTATTTTTTCCTAAAATGATCATACAAAATAACCAAAATGTGCTCCCCCTTCGTTAAGACTACAAGATAATTACAATTATTTTGTTTGTATTTTATCTTGTGGCCTGGTGAACAGGGAGCTTGTTTGCCCCTGAAGTGTGCTGGATATTTTTATATGATCTCTTTTTATGCTGAATCAATGTATTTTTGCACTCTTTCACTATTAGTCTGGAGCTTGTTGTGTATGTACATACTTTAAGCAGTAAAAACCTGACCGGTGTTCCAATCCTAAACTAGAAAAAAAAAGTTTTGACTAAACATATACTTTAATGCACATCTCCAGGCTGAAAGAAGAGGCTTCCTGAACTGCAAGGAAATGCTCATATCTAGGGAAACAGGCAGGATTATTTACCCTATTCTCCTGTTCGGCACTACTTCAGTGCCAATCACATACAGTACAGGGCTATAAACCTTTCATTGTACATATGAGAGGCAGGAGTGCAACAGCAGCCGGGAGCACTGCTGGAGTGAGAAATAAGTTATATATTACACTTTATTCCTTTATCCCTAGACAAAAATGAGCATTTAACCCTTGCAACCCACAGCAAGGGTAGCTTTTTTGTGTTTGCAGTTGGACTTTAATTCTGAACTTCAGGCTAAATACAAAGTTTAACCACTTGCCCTTCAGAAGATTTACCCCCCCCCCCCCTTCCTGACAAGATCATTTTTTGCAATACGACGCTGCGTTACTTTAACTGACAATTGCACAGTAATGCACAACTACCAAATGAAATTTATGTCCTTTTTTTTCACAAACAGAGCTTTCTTTTGATGGTATCTGATCACCCCTGCGGTTTTTGCTTTTTGAATAATAAACAAAAAAAGACAGACAATTTTGAAAAAAAAAAACATTTTTTATTTTCTACTAAAATATATCCAATAAAAAATTTCAAAATCAAGTTTCTTAATACATTTAGGCCAAAATGTATTCTGCTACATCATTTTGGTAAAGAAAAAATCCCAATAAGTGTATATTGATTAGTTTGCACAAAAGTTAGAGCATCTACAAACTGTGTTACATATACTGGAATTTAAAAAAAATATATATACTTTGCCAGAACCAGTGACACTAATACGCACTGGTCACTATACTAATGACACTGGTTGGGAAGGGGTTAACATCTAGGGTGATCAAAGGGTTAAGTGTGTGCCTAGCTACGTGCTTGGTGTGCACTAGATGGCGCTGGTACAAAGGGAAGTGATGGATCGTGTTCCCAGCTCTGCAGGGACACACGATCCATCATTTTCCCTTGTCAGAACACAGCCTTGTAAACATAGGCACAGCTGTATTCTTCCTCCCTGCCTGGCGATCTGCGGGTGCCAGCAAAGATCCGTGTGTCGGAACTTGCAGATCGGCTCCTGCTGTGACAGTCCACAGCAGAAGCAATCCACCTGCGACGCACACTTGCTCCCGTGAGGCAGAAGTGCAAAATCACATATATATTAGTATTATTATAATACAGGATTTATATAGCGCCAACAGTTTGCACAGCGCTTTACAATATAAGAGAGACAGTACAATTACAATACATTTCAGTACAAAAGGAATAGGAGGGCCCTGCTCGTGGAGCTTACAATCTAAAGGAAGGGGGAGGTGATATAAAAGGTGATAGCCGCGGAGGATGATCTGGCGCAGGTGATTAAAGTACTGTTCTTAGGTGGAGGTGGGGTAGGCTTCCCTGAAGAAGCGAGTTTTCAAAGATCGCCTAAAGACAGACAGGGTGGGGGCTGACCGGACATGCTGTGGTAGGGAGTTCCAGAGGACGGGAGAGGCTCTGGAGAAGTCCTGGAGGCGAGCGTGGGAGGAGATGATGAGGGAGCTAGAGAGGAGGATATCATGGGAGGAGTGGAGTGGGCGATTTGGGCAGTATCTGTGGATGAGGTTGGTGATGTAGCTAGGGGCAGTGTTGTGGATGGCTTTGTAAGCTGTGGTTAGTATTTTGAATTTTATATGTTGGGTTAGTGGAAGCCAGTGGAGGGATTGGTAGAGAGGGGCAGCAGTCGCTGATCGGTTGGTAAGGTGTATGAGTCTAGCAGCAGCATTCATAATAGACTGAAGGTGGGATAGTCTGTGTAACGGTAGACCAGTGAGGAGGGAGTTGCAGTAATCGAGGTGGGATATAACCAAGGCGTGGATAAGTTGTTTTGTGGTGTCATTGGTCAGGCAGGGGCGGATTTTGGAAATGTTCTGGAGGTTAAGGTGGCAGGATTTAGCCAGTGAGTGGATGTGGGGCCCAAAGGAGAGGTCAGAGTCTACGATTATGCCTAGCACCCTGGCATGAGGGGAAGGACCAATGGTAGTGCTGTTGATCTTAATGGTAAAGTCATGAGTGGGGGATCGGGGAGGAGGAAATATTACAAGCTCAGTTTTTGAAAGATTGAGTTTAAGGTAGTGATGTGACATCCATGCTGATATGTCGCTTAGTAAATTTATGATACGTGAGGAGATTGAGGGGGTGAGCTGGGGAGTGGAGAGATAGATCTGGGTGTCATCAGCATAGAGGTGGTATTGGAAGCCATGGAAGGTTATCAGTTAGCCCAGGGAGGAGGTATAGAAAGAGAAAAGAAAGGGCCCAAGAACAGAACCTTGGGTTACCCCAACAGAAAGAGGAAGCAGAGTGGAGGAGGAGGAGTTGTATGTGACACTGAAAGTGTGCTGAGAAAGGTAAGAGGAGAACCAGGAGAGAGCAGAGTCACGGAGGCTGATGGAGTGGAGTTTACTGAGCAGGAGCGGGTGGTCAACTGTGTCAAAGGCAGCGGAAAGGTCAAGGAGTATGAGTATGGAGTAATGGCTGTTGGTTTTTTAGCAGTTAGTAGGTCATTAGTGAGTTTTAGCAGTAGGGCAGTTTCTGTGGAATATTGTGGGCGGAAGCCAGACTGTCGGGGATCAAGAAGGTTGTTGTCGGTGAGGTAGCAGTTCATACGGTTGTGAACAAGCGTGGAGGCAAACAGGAGCAGGGAGATGGGTCTTAAGTTATTCAAACAGGTGGGGTCCAGCGAGGGTTTTTTGACGATGGGGGTAACCAGTGCATTTTGAGTGGGGAGGGAAAGGTGCCCATGGAGAGCCAGAGGTTGAATATGTGGGTTAGAGAGTTTAGGATAGAGCAGGAAGGAGGCTGCAACA